TGTTGCAGTCGCTGTCAAAAATCAATCCTTTTGATTTGTTGATGATGCCGATACCTAGTATTATTATTTTTTACATTTAATTCTCATGGAATTCAATTTCTTCATATGGACAAATACATCATTTTTCATATCTTCCTTTTCAAACATAACTTCTAATAGCAGCTCAATTCTATGTATTAATAAACTCAATTTTGTTTTGGAGTAGGGAGTCTCATGTGGTTGGTTTTTATTTCTTTTTATCTAGTTTAAGGATTTTTTTAATATTTTCTTTACTTTAAACCCTTAGGTTGATTAACGAATGACTGAAACATTAGAATTCAAAGGTTAATGTAGAGTTACTTAATAAAAGTAATAACTTCCATTTTTGTTTTGTTTTGGGGGGTATATTTCTCATAGGTATGCAATAGAGCATAGATGCAGCATGGTTGTAAAAGGACCAAATTTGAGTGAAAACATATTAGGAATTGATTCATTGGAGGACAACAACTTACTTTTGAAAGGAGAAGCTTTAGATGATTCTCAAAAAGCAAGCCATATTGCAGTTGTTGTTAATGAGTTGTCCAAGGAAATAATTAAGATTCTAATTTTACATCCTGTGAATGCTAAATGTGTTGTAGAAGGGAAGAACATAGCTAATGTATTCCTTTTAAGAGGTTGTGGTATTTGAATTGAAGTTTGTTATTTAAAATTTATCATATTTTGTTCATTCAATTACCAAACATGAAAGTATTGCTTAATGGAACTAAAATTTGTAGCGTGATCCATTTGCATAGTTTGCTATCTCAGAGGAAGGCACTTAAAGTGAATTATTTTTAGGAAATACTGAACAATATTTAAAACTTGAAAATAATTATAGTGTTGGCTATTCTCATAGAAGTATAGTTGCTGTTCTACACCTTAAAATTTATGTTTTTTTGTGCTTTTGATCACAAACTAGGTAAAATAATTGGATATTAAAACACATGATGTTTCATCCTGCATAAGAAAAATTGATGTAACATATCTAGAATTGTAATATGATTTATTGATCTAATATGCTCATTTACATGTCTTATATATGCATCTATTTTAAATTGCTTTTTATAGGTTACTCCATTGGCAAACAGGCATGGCATGTGGCCATGCATGATGACTCTAACAAAAATAATTCATGGCCTGGGCTTATCACTTGGCACTGATATTCTTGAATCTCCCAGAGCAACTGGAGATTATTGAATGCTACTAATTTCAAAAGCAATAGCAATAGCCAAGGCACTCTCAACTCCATTGCAATCTTGTCCTCAAGTTTTTCTACCCGGAAAGGATAAACATAAAGTAGGCCGATTAGAGAGATATGACTTTGGATTTCTACATATCAAGGTCAAAATTTTATCAATTTTTGTTTCATTTTATTTTCTTACTTCTAAGTATTTTTCTTTTACATTTCATATCAACGTGAAAACCTCACCATATGCATAGATTATTTCTCTTCAATTGTTAGCTTTTGCCCAAAATAAGGGGCTAAATTTTGATTGTGTTAGGGCTAACATCACAATTGTATGCATATACTTTAGAAAAGTGCTTATGCTTATTAGTTCTGGTGCATGTTACTCTTGGAGATTAAAAGCAAAAGATAAATCTAAAATGTGGAGGTGTGTGCACATGTGTGTGAACGTGCCATTGTCTATTCATCATGTGTTCATTTTCTTTTTGATAGACATAAAACTAAGCTTGGGATTAATTCTAAGTATATGTTTGATGTGCTTTGATTTCCCCTCATCTTTCCATTTGTTTTCAAATTTAAGTATCACATGAATGTTTAAGTACGTTTCATGTTTAGTAATTTTGTGGCTATTGTGTATTAATGCTTCAATGACCTACTTGTGATGGATATTAATTTTCATTTCAAGCATAATGTTCTTGACACACCAAAGCATAAGGTTTTGTCTGAAGAGAATAAAAAATAAGTTCAAGTTAAGAAGCTTTTACATACATATTATAAATCAAGTGAACTATAAGGAAATGCTGATCAAGGGATTCCCTTGAAAGATTGAATGAAATTGTGATTGTACTTTAAATTGTACTTACGACCATTCCCCTTATTTGTTTTTTTATATATAATAGGATGTAGTTTAACATGAGCATGATGTTGTTCTTAACTTGCCATGGTATATTTTTTAATATAGGGTGCTCTATGGTCTTTGTTTATCATTTTGATTGTACTTGATCGAAAGATAAATTAAACCTAATGGAATTAATATTTTTCTTTCAAATTATTATTGTTCATTTTCGTTCTTCACATTTACTTATTTTTCTAGGATAATTCAGTTGTCCTCCATATTACATTGTTGACATGGCTTACTATACAATGTATACTAATTAAAAAGAGAGAACTTATTGTGAGTATTCCCTTATTTTTTTTGTGTAGGGTAGGATGTAGTTTAATATGAGTATGATATTATTCTTACTCCCCATAATATATTCTTTGATTTGGGGTACCAAAACCAACAAGTGCAAGGACTTTGGCTTAAGGTGCAAGGGTTCTGGCTTAAGTGCAAGAAGTATGACTTAGATGCAAGGTTTCTAACTTAAAATACATGTGTATGGCTTAGGGTGTAAGGCTTTTAACTTGGATGTGAGGGTTTTGGTTTACGTACAAGAGGTATGGCTTGGGTGTAAGGTTTTTGACTTAGGGTGTAAGAGATATGGCTTAAGTGTAAGAAACCTAGTTTAGGGTACAAATCTTTTGACTTAGTCATTTTCATGTAATTTAGGAGCACTAACTGTGGTGTGCTCTCTATGTATTTGATTTACATGTTGCTAAAGATTACATGTAAATCATTTCTTAGTCATGCTCATGAGTTTTTTTATATATTGAGTTACATGTAATTTATATTCATTTTCATGTAATTCTGGGAGATTAACAGGGGCGTGCTCTTTGTGGGTTTGATTTACATGTAATCCGCTATAGATTACATGTAAATTATTCCTCAAGCATGTTTGTGATTTTTTTCCTATATTGATTCACATGTCATCTGTAGTCTTTTTTATATAATTACAAGGTTATTGACAATGGGTGCTCTTTATGTAATTGATTTACATGTAATTCATAAGATATTACATGTAATTGTCCAAATCAGAAGCCTTGCACTCTAAACTAGAACATGTGCACCCTAAGCCATCTACTTGCACCCTAAGCCAAATCTCTTGCATCCAAGTTAAAAGCCTTACATCTTAAGCCAGAAACCTTGTACCGGATTCAGTCTTTTGCTCAAATTATTTAATGAATAAAATAGTATCCTTGGTCTTTCAAATACATTTGGTCTCTAAGACTAATTTTGCTTCTAATTACGTCCTTTTCACCAATTTTTTCTTTGCTTATATACCTATAAAAAAATAGCTTTCTTTCAAATAATATGTTTTCGTTAGTAAATGTCAAATAAAATAATAAGTTATGCTTTAATATTATTCTTTTGACTTTGTTTGATATCCTCGTTGCTAACAAAAATAAAAAGAAAGAATTTCATATAAGTGGCAGACAAAAAAAAAACTAATTACTTACAAGTAACTTATAAATAAAAAATAAAAAAATTAATCATGGGGTTCTTACAGTTATGACTAAGTTGTAATTTATTCTCTAAATTTTAATTTGTTGTAACTTAGTTCTTATATTTTTAATTATTTAAATATTAGTACCTATATCTTAAAAATAAAATTACAAAGATTAAAAGTATTTTAAAATTTATTACCAATATTTTAAATTAATAAACCCTATTTATAATAAATATTAAAAGTTTAAAATATTTTCAATCTTTGTAATTTTATTTTTTAAAATATGGGGACTAATGTTTAAATAGTTGAAATTATAGATTAAGTTGCAAGGGGCAAAATTCAAAGATTGAATTACAACCAAGTTAACATGTTAATTTAAAATTAGGGAGAATGACAATAAAATCCTTACGAAATATATAAATGATAATTTGATCCCTCAAAATGCCATAATTTCCCTGAAGTCTTTAGGAGTTTTTTTGTCATTAATAAATTTATATAAATTATCAAATTACTCTTATTGAAAATAAATGATTCACAAGTTTTGTTTAAATTTTTATAACTTTCCTTCTTATATTTGTAACAATGTAATAGCAAATAAGGAATTTAATATGCAAATTGTGATTTGCTATTGTATTATTGTGAATATAAGAAGAAAAGTTATGAATATTTAAATAAAATTTTTGAATAGTTTATTTTCAACAAGGGTAATTTAATAATTTATATAAATTCATCAATAATAGAAAAGCCTCTAGGGACTTCAGGAAAATTATGACATTTTAAGAGATCAAATTATCATTTATATATTTCGTAAGGATTTTATTGTCATTCTCCCGTAAAATTAAACTTGTAAATGGATTGAAGAAATAATTATTATTTTTTATTTGGGACTTGATTGTAATTCTCTCTCATAAAAATTCACTCAAATTTAAATAATAAATTCATTTTTGTAAAGACATAGTAGATTATCTTTATTCTAAACTTAGTATCATTTATAATAATATATATATATATATATATATAACATAAAAGTAAAATAGCATTAAATCTGAAGTTTTATACCTTAATGTTTTAATCTAAACAATCTATATTTTTTATTAAATAACAAGTACCAAAACATAGAGAAGGAAAACCACACAAGATTAAGAAAGTTAAACAAGCTAATCCCCTGTTGGCTATCAAATACATCACCTCCGATGCGTTATTGCACAAAACATGCAATTCATTGCCTAATTCAACGATCCTGAATTGTGCATATAATCCGCATATAAACATAATGCTGACAAGCAAACAAATTTTGGCCTGGAGGAGATTTTCACTTATTTGAATCTGATAATACCCAAATCTAACCTGGTAAAACTGAATATCACAGATACTGTATAAAAGGGAGAAAAGAAAAAAAGAAACAGATTGTTTGTCATCTTTTATCTAAGCTCAAAATTAATTACAGAAAATAACCTTCTTAATTGATAAACAGATGATATCAAGGTTTCCCATGCTCATCTGCTAGATGATGCCACTACTTGTCACGGGGAAGAGGAATGTTTCTCTTTGTTTGTGCTAGGTTCACACTCCAGATGACCATGCTTCATCTACAACAACAAGCAGCCTTATTTTACTAGGTGAAATCGGCCCATCAAGCACAATATCAGTAATTTGATCCAGGAGAGTCCCATGTTTCTGGTATGATCTTGTGCAGTGAACAAATAACTTCATGGCTTCCATTATTGCAACATGTTGAACCATGTTCATCCTGCAACATCTGAACATGTTCATACTCCTGCATGACCTTGTCTATTCTCTCCAAAACTTCTTCCATGGTTGGTCGATTTTTGGGGACACGCGACACGCACAAAAGGGCGATGTTCAGCACAGGAAATGCCCACTGATATTCAGTTTCTCTAACTCCTTTATCAAACACCTCTCCTGTCCATTCCTCTCTCACCATGGATGTCACCCATCTAGGTAGGTCTATGCTGTTTATTTCTATACTTTTTCCTGTTAGCAGTTCCAAGAGAATCACTCCGAAACTAAAAACATCACTTTTCTCTGTCAAACTGTTTTCTGGAGCAGTGTATCCATGAGAGGCAAAGAAGAATGATGTGTTAGGGTCTAAGAACTTTGATAGTCCATGCTCACTGATCAGAGGTTCATTTTTGTCATTAAGAAGGATATTTGAAAGCTTGAGGTTTCCATGAGGAATGATCTTTCTACCTTCCATATTCTGATAAATGAACCCCAAACCTCTTGCAATCCCAGCTGCTATGGACAGTCTCAGTTTCCATGGGAATTCTTTTTTACCTTGCATATATTCTGTAGCAAAATGAGAAATGTCAATTTTTATACTGAGGAAGTAAATATATTCGAGGTACAAGTAATAATTTCTTGTCTGACATGTGATAGTTTTCTCTATTATTTTTCCCCCTCCAGCTTAGAATGAATTCTTAGCTTTTTCATCCTCAAAAGAAATTTTATTTGGTTCTCACTTTATGCCCATTAATATCATGTGAGCAGGTTCAAAATGAAGCTGGTGTGTCCATCAAGTGTTCAACAGTCAATGAAGCATGTCATGACAAGTTATTGAACACCAAAGTAATCGAAGTACCATGTGCTTAATCAGTATATATGTTTCAGTGATTGTCATGTAATATGCTTAACCAAATTGTGGAAAAGTGAGAACTTCAAATACACACTTAATATCTGTTTGATAACACAAGGATAATGTGGTGACTTGAAAAGCTGAAATTACTGATTTCAACTTACCTTTTAGAAGGAATAGCAGACTTCCATTGCTTTGATATTTATAAATTAGAAGTTTTTCTTCACTTGTAGAGCGATAGCCAACAAGGGGAAGAATGTTTGGATGTTTCAGGTAACTTAACTGCCTCAATGTTTCTCCAAATTCACCAGAAGATACCTGCAAATTCTTTAGCCTTTTCACGGCATAATGCATATTATTCTTCAGTATTACCTTGTAAAGGCTGCTGCAAAAGCTTTCATTTCTCAAGTCAGCTGTGGCTTGAAGCAAGTCCTCCAATGTGAACCTTTCATGCTCTTCAACAAAGAACACAAGCTCTGAATCTGATCTCTTCTTCATCTTCACATCTTCTGAAAGTTCTTGTTTCTGTGTCTCGGCCAGAGAATCTCCAAGGGTTTCCATCTTCTCCTTCCCTTCATTTAACTTGGGAGCTTTCTTTCCTATAAAGAAAAGAGCTAATGATAACAATCCAACACCTCCCAGTATTGGTGCCAACTTTTTCCAATCTGTATACCATTTGCTTTTGGACCTGCCAGATTCATTGTTGTCAGGAGGACTTGATTCTGATGGATCTTGCATCAGTTTCCTTAACTTAAATCCCTCACTTTTACTATTCCTCTCTGATAATCTAGAATCCTCAGAAAAATCGTTGTTAGAGATGTCAAATGTTCTGAGATATCTCAGTTTTGTTAAGGTTTTAGGTACCCTCCCACTCAGCTGATTGCTGCTTAGATTCAAATACACCAGCCTTGTGCAGTGCACAACTGAGTCAGGAATGTTTCCTCTGATGCGATTCTCAGCTAAGTTAACACTTTCCAGATTTTGAAGCCTACATAAGGAATCTGCATTGATTATGCCACTAAGATTCATGTTCTGAAGGCTTATGTCTACAATATTGGAAGCATCTGAGTTGCATCTTATGATACCACTGATCTCAAGCAAGCATGGATGTAATGAAAATCCCAGGTTGCTCATGTTAAGTACATTTTGGGGATCAATGGCTCTCATGAAACTGAAGAAAGATTCAGATTCTGAGAACTCATCTGCACAAACTATGATAAAGAGAGGAAGAAGAAGAATGCAAACCAGCATTTTCTCCATTTTCTGCTACTGGGGTTCCTTCTTTGTTCATGCCAGTTTCTTTTGAAGTCAAAAACAGGAATCATGTACTTATCCAGCTGGCTTCTTTATTTGTGCATTAGGCAAGGACAAGATTCCCCCCCCCCCACATATTACAATGTTTCATGATCGTATTCCCCTTTGTTATTATCACCATGTATGTCTTTATTGTCCATGAAACATTCCAAAATACAGAATGTTTTTGGAACTATGAATGAGTGAAGCTCATTGGGCCACATCTGATTATAATAGTAATAATAATAATACTTGGCTTTTAGATATGACTTGTGAGCATTTCAAAATTGCTCTCAAGAGGTGTCTGATTATTACCTTGAACATTATTCAACTTTTCATTAACACCAAAGATTATTTCTTTCTCTCTCTCTGTTTTTTTTTTTTTTTTGGTTTTTTTGAGGTGGGTTTTGGGATAGAGTCTGTAGGAAGGAGAGTGACACTCCGAGACCTTCTAAGCAGCGGCACAGCCAAATCCTAGGCAAGGAGGGGCAAATTTATTTTAAACATTAAAAACTAAAAAAATAATCCATAATTAAAATTTTTATAAATAATTACATACTTAATAAATTTTTTTACGATATTTTTATGTTTTGAAATTATTAAACAACTAATTTATTGTTATTCAAGACTCAAATGGATTTAAAGTTTAAAATATCAAGATAAGAGGTGAAAAAATATGAAAAGAAGGGGTGCAAAATATAAAATCTTATAACCATAGTATGTAATTTTCTCCAAGGTAGGAAAGAATATTGTCACGGGTCATTACTCTCTCTTTAAAAAGCTAACTCGGTGAGATATGCAGTGCACTTGCTTTATATGCCTAGGATTCTCCTCAAGTTCCACTGATGTGGGACATAATAACTTTCCTGACCAATCTATGGTGCTTTATCATGGGTCATACCATTACTCTCTCCTCAAAAAACTAGTTCAACACACCCGCTTATATGTTCAGGACCCTCTTCAAATCCTTCTGACGTGAGATGTAATGATATTCTCCCTTTCCTTATAGGTGGTTCTATCACTGCTTCTAAGCATGCTACAAGCGTCTCGTTGTAAGCACAAAGTAGAGGATTAACCCAAGAGGCTACTGTATCTAATTGCAGCTACTCAATCAGCCCTGGAATGCTAGATGAGATATCTATCTATGGAGGGAAATATGCATACCAAAAAAGACTTTCAATGAGTACAACCTTAAACTATTTATGTTGTTAACCTGCATATATGGGTAAAGGTTAGAACAAAGCCAAGATATTTACAAGAAATATTCATGTACTGTACTATCTAATCTAATTGTAATATATATATATTTATATATATAATTTAGTGAAAAGGAAAGATTCTCATTGGAAGTTGCAATCAGTGAAGACTCTACGTTTAGGAGTTTGACAACTATATGATGATTGCAGAACACTTTGATTTTGGTCGTGTTATTGCTTCAACCCTCTTCTAGCAACATCATTTTTCTACTACAGTACCCTGTTTTTAAATTAAAAAATAATCAACTCACACAATTTAAAAAAATTAATTAAATATAATAATTATATATGAAAATAAAAAAATAAATTAGAATATCCCATATTAAGCAAACAAGTGTGCATTAATGTTTTGTCTCATAAATGAAAACTTTGATTTTATGAGGGGATGATTTAGGGAAGTTGTGACAAATTATTATTGAAATGTGTAATTTTTGCATATGGAAAAATAAAATGTGATAAATGTTCAATGAAATGTGTAATTTTTCCTATTTTCATAAAGGAGGGAGTATGATCTTGACTCTTAGAAGGCTGTGAATATGATGTGATGTTGCAGCCTAGGCTTGTTAAAATTAGATTTGTCATTCAACCCATAAACATGTTAATTCGTACTTCATTCATATGAACAACATTGTAACTATGTAAAATGAGTTTGCCTTATTCAGTTGGTTCATTTATTATCTCACCATAAAAATTAATTCATCCAATGAGTTCCATTAATGATTCACGATTTTTGATCTTATATTCAGAAACGGATCCATGTCCAAGAGGAAATTTTCATCTCATACCCGTAAGGAAATTATTCCTGAATCCCAAAAAAAATTTCACCTAGGTCCTCATGAGAAATTCCATTTACCCTATTTTAACTTTTTTTTTTAAACTAGTAATTTGCCCATGTACAAGGATGATGCATGTGAGACATTAGTGGAGATGTATGTTAAAATAATAAAAATAATTTAAGTAACAATAATGTTAGTTAGTTAAAATATCAATATTAAATTAAACATAAGTTAATTTAATTTATCATTATTGATTATCATTATATGAATGAAAAAAATAATTAATTGAATAATTGAATTCAATTAATTAATTGAATAATTATTCAAATTAAATAATTGAATTTCACGAGAGAAATTACATCCTTCAATACCTTTTTTTTTATACATAGGATTAAAAAAAAAACTCAAGCTCAAACTTAACAAAGTCTCATATAAGAAACACCAAGAGCATCATCTAATATCTACTTTTTCAAACCGTCTGGAGGGTGACCTAAGTTGTGTAGACCTTTTCCCAGATTCAGAGCATAAGAAGCCAAGAAGTCAACGCATTTGTTCCCTTCACCATAGATATGAGACACATCTCCACACACCAATCCCCACATAAAAGGGAATTAATCTAAGCAATCCGCCTGCTATTAGCATTTGTTGAGCATTACGAATCGGAATCCACACTCTCATGCCATGGGCTTCACAATAGATGAAGTCTCGCATCATTCAACACTAATTTGTAAATATTATTAGAAATATTTATATATTATTTTTGGTTATTGAGTGGCTATTTTATTTTTTATTTGTATACTTTTATGTAGGGAGCTGCTATTCAAAAAAAAAATGTCACAAATACATGATGATTATTTGAAAATAATCATTAAGTATTTATGACAAAATCAGGATGGGCTTAGCCTAATTGTTTGGGCAATCTTGTAGCACATGTATGATATTTGTCATTATTATTTGGGCTTAGCCTAATCGTTTGGGCTTGTCTGTGAGATCTTTATTAGTCTCAGGCAATCTTGTAGCACATGTATGATATTTGTCACAACATCCTTACACATTGCACATCGATCTTCTGTATGCATTCCCCGCTTCACACGACTTGCATTAGTAAGGAGTTTGTTATAATAGGACAATCACAAAAAGAGTTACATCATTCAGGGACATAAAGGTTTAATTTGACAATTTTTTTTTCACTTCATCAATAATAATTAAGGTTTTCACCAATGTTTTGGAACTTTTTAGTATTTTTCTTTTTTCTTTTTTCTTTCTTTACTAATTAAAGAGTGCTGAGAGAGAGAGCGAGAGAGAGAGCCCACAAATATAAAGTCCAAAGAAATATACATGAAGCAATTAACAAGGACGTCCTTCATGTTCAAACTTCAAAAATCCTTGTTGCTTTTATGTCCTTCAAGTTCAAAATTCAAAATCACACAGCCCTTTTGATGAAACCAAAAGACCGTAAAACAACAAAGAAAAGAATAAAGAAAAGAAAAGTGAGGCAATTGCTTTCAACTTTTTAATTTATCTATTTCCTGCCAGCAAGTAGTTTCGTAGGGGCATGAAATTTCATACGGGTATGAAGCACATTGGCACTGGAGCATGAAACAAGAATTTCAGAGATTAAGATATATGTCAGTATGAAGCAAAAGATAGGGGTATCAAACTGTTGACACCGATATGAATACAATGATACTGGTATGAAATTCTTCAAAAAAAACAAAAGACCTTTTCATTTCAATATGACCTTGGAGATAAGGGTATAAAACACTTGATTCCAGTATGAAGAAGAAAAACTCAACATAAAAAATTTTAAAACATTTTAAGCACAGACTGATCTTATTCAAAATAAATTGAAATAAATCAAATAATTATCCCCAAGCTCAAAAGAATAAAGATAATAAAGGGACAGGATTAAGAGAGAGAGAGAGTTAGAGATTTAAGCAAAAAATCCTCACTTCCTTGAGTCCTTTTTGACAAGCAACCTCATATGCAAAAGGCTTTTCTACTTTGTTATCATTAAAACCTTCAGGGTTCAACATACGATATCTTCCGCGGCATTCTTATATATTTCACATCGATCTTCCATATTCATTCCCCACTTCACATGACTTGCGTTGGTAAGAAGTTTGTTATGACAGGACAATCACAAAAAGAGTTACATCATTCAGGGACATATAGGTTTTCACTGGTGTTTGCTTTGGGTTTAATCAACATTTTAGACTTTTTGCTGTTTTACTATATTCTTTTTTCTTTCTTTACTAATTAAGGAGTGCTGAGAGAGAGCCTACATATATAAAACAACAACAACAAGCCTTTATCCCACTAGGTGAGGTCGGCTACATGGATTGCAAGACGTCATTATGCTTTATTATTTATCAAGCTTTTAGGAATATTATTAATTAAGAGATCGCGTTCAACAATTTCCAAGAGTATTCTCTTAAGCCTTCCTTTATCTCTTTTAATCGGACTCAAAGTTATATGTTCCACTCTTCTCACTGGTGCCTCCCTTGATCTTCTTTGTACATGCCCAAACCATCTCAACCAATTTTCTACCATTTTTTTTTCAATAGGTGCCACCCTCACTTTTTCGCATACGTGCTCATTTCGAATTTTATCTTTACGTGTGTGTTCGCACATCTATCGTAACATTCTCATCTCTGATACTCCAACTTTATGCTCTTGCTGTCCCGTTAGAGCCCAGCATTCACTACTATATAACATTGCCGGTCTGATAGCAGTGCGATAAAACTTTCCTTTAAGTTTATTAGGCACCTTACGGTCGCAAATAACTCCTTTAGCTTTTCTCCAATTAAACCACCAAGTTTGAATTTTATGTGAAATATCTCCACTGATTTCGCCATCATTTTGAATAATGGCTCCCAAATATCTAAACTTTTTCACTTGAGGTATAATTTGATCTTCCAATTTTACTTCTAAATTATTGTCAAATAGTCCTTTACCAAATTTACAATATAAATATTCCGTCTTACTTCTACTCAGACGAAAACCTTTCGACTTCAATGTCCTTCTCCATAACTCAAGTTTGCAATTAACCTCTTCTCTTGTCTCTGCTATAAGAACTATATCATCCGCGAAGAGCATAGATTTTGAAATTTCCCATTGAATATGTTCCGTCAAAACATTTAAGATCAAGTTGAACAAATAAGGACTCAGAGATGATACTTGATGTAGTCTAATCTTTATAGGAAAATCCTTTGTTTGACCACTAGGCGTTTTTATACTAATTTTTACCCTTTCATACATATCTTGTATGGCTTTAATATAAGCAATCCGTACTCCCTTTTTTTCCAACGCTTTCCAAAGCACTTCTCTTGGTATACGGTCATAAGCTTTTTCCAAATCAATAAAAACCATGTGTAGATCTTTATCTTTACAACGATACTTTTTCATTAATCCTTTTAGTAGATAAATCGCCTCTGTAGTTGATCTACCTGGCATAAAACTAAATTGATTCTTAGAAATACTTGTCTCCAATATCAACCTGTGCTCAGTTACTTTCTCCCACAATATATAAAGTCTAGAGAAATATATATGAAGCAATTAACAAGGACGTCCTTCATGTTCAAACTTCAAAAATCCTTGCTGCTTTTATGTCCTTGAAGTTCAACTTCAAAATCAAACGGCTCTTTCATGAATCCAAATGACCCTAAAGAAAAAAAGAAAAGAATAAAGAAAAGAAAATAAAAGCGAGGGAATTGTTTTCAGCTTTTTAATTTATCTATGTCCTGCTAGCAAGCAAGGTATATATCTTTGTTTATTTCAACGTAATAATTCACAGAACTTTTTATCCCAACTGTTTATATACTTGTTAGTTGCTGCATGTTCCTGCTTATCTTCTCTGTTAGTTGACAATAATGAAGGCGACTCTGAATTGGAAGCATGAAACAAACAAGAAGCCGAGGGCCGAAGCAACTTTCACGGTCCCTGCCGGCGAGGTCAAGCTCCAAGCTACAGTTACAGAAGCCTCTATCTTAAATAAAGGTCCGAGTTTGGAAGGATTGGTTCTGGCTCTTGAGAAACCTGATGCCTTCAAGGTCGACTACAATGTTCTGAAACAGGTATGTATGTCCGTGTACATTTTGGTCCATGAGAATCAGAATCCATAACAATAGCATGTAAATTTTTGGCCAAAAAAAAAATCAATAGTATATTTTAAGAAAAATTATGTATAGGCCTTATGGAGCAAACTTATTTATAAATAAATCCTGCAAAATTTAGAAATCACCATTAGGTTTTTTGATACCTGAGTGCAACATGAAATTAGGGTGTAAAGATAACATTATCCTTACTTGTAATGCACGATTATTTTAACTATTAAATATGTAAAATTATAGTAGTAAATTACTTGATTAATATAATATATTTTTAATATGGATATTATTATTTTTATACCCCAATTTCAAATTAAACTCAAATCTTAAAAGACCTAGGTGTATCTTTTGAATCTCACAGGATTTATTTATAAATAATTTTACTTCACAAAATCTATACATAATTTTCTAGGGTTCTAAAAATGAGTCAACTATTGAGCTTCAAAATGTTAGCACATCACATGATAATAAAGGAATCGACCAACTTATCTCCCACTACTACAAAAAATACCTATTAGAGTGCTCATAGCTTATTAAAAAAACACTCTAAAAAAACGAGATGAGATATACTGGAGCCCTAATTTAATTAACACTCTAGAAAGTTTAGTCTTTCGAAGCGCTTTCTATATAAAGCTTACGAGAGCGCTTCCCATGAAAGCACTCCTGTAGGCAACCCTATGAGAGCGCTTTTGTGGAAAGCGCTCCTAAAGAACTCTCAAGAACTCATTTTGTATTTTTGTAAGCTATACTTATGGGAGCGCTTTACAAAAAGTGCTCTCGTAGGCTATACTTGTAGGAGTGCTTCAAAAAGCACTCTTATAACTATAGGAGCACATGCAACGGGTGCACTTCAAAAGCGCTCTTATAGGCAAAAAATAAGTGCTTTGAAAAATATTTTTTGCAGTATCTAATCCCTTTCAACAATTTCCAAAATAGGCATGTTTGTTTAAGAGTCAAAAAAATGATTTTTAAATACTTTAAAGATTATATAAAAAATTATTTTGTAAAGATTTTACAAAAAGTAAATGTTATTTATATTTAGTTACAATAATAAAAAAGTTATTATTATTAAATTTTATTTTTTAAGACAAATTATATATAGCTCTGGTAGAGCAAACTTATTTACAAATAAATTATGCAAAAATTAAAAATTACTGTTACGTTCCTTAATATCTGAGTGTAATTTGAAGATAGGGTGTAATGACAACATTATCCTTACTTGTAATATATAAATATGTTAAATTATAGTTATAAAAAGTTGAAGTAATAGTTATAAATTACTTAATTAACGTAATATATTTTTAATATGAACATTGTTATCTTTATACCTCAATTTTAAATTATACTTAAATTCTAAGAGGGCTAGGTGTATCTTTGAATCTCAAAGGATTTATTTATAAATAATTTTACTTCACAAAACCTATGCATAATTTTCTAGAATTCTAAGAACGAGTCAACTTTGTGCTCCAAAATGTTGGCACATTATATGATAATAAAGGAATCGACCAACTTGTCTCCCTTTCAACAATTTCCAAACGAGGCATGCTTGTTTAAGAGAAAAAAATAAATCATTTTATACAATTTAAAGATTTTATAAAAAAATTATTTTGTACATATTTTATAAAAAGTAAATGTTATTTTATATTTAGTTACAATAATAAAAATTATTATAATTAAAAATTATTATATCTTTTTATTTTTTTATAAAAATAATTTATTATTTGACTATTTTACAATTTTATAATATCTATTTCATCCCATATTTTTAAAATATTCTTTCTCATTTATCACATTGAATTATTATCAAAAGCTACTTTATTAAAATAATTAAAAATTTGTTTTTTAATTCTAATTTATTTTTAAAAATTTAAAAAATTATCATAAAAACTCATAAAATATATTTAAAAAATAAATGATTTTATTTTTTTGAGCAAAAAATGATTTTATTATAAAATAAGCTAAAAAAAAGGAACTCATAAATCCTTAAATAAACCTCTAATATCAACACCAAATTGGTTAATCTTAAGAAAACTTCCCTGCCAATAAATCCTCAAATCAATCTCTAACAAACTTAAATATGAATCATTAGATCACAATTAAATTGGGGTAAATATCATAACTCCTTCAGAATTTCATCTGCCCATTCAAACCTTAATTACCCTCAATTCCTCAAAATCATCATGTGCTAGGGAAAAAGTACTCCGATTAAAAATTGTAATATAATTAGCTCTTGAAATTATGTGGATTTGTCTCAAGTTCTTCTTGAGCAAATGCATGGGCTCGCTTTAATTTCAACAAAATCTAAGAGACATTGGGTGTGTCTTCTCTGCTATATAGCCTCTCTATGATTAATTTCTTGCACTACATATGATTTCTTGGTTCGTGCAGGATTATAATTTCAAGTTTATGAACACAATTAGGGTTTTAGAGAAGCCATTGAAATTTACATACAAACATGGGTCGAAGGACAAAAGCACAGATTTAGATGCAACGTTGGAATTAGATAATGATAATAAGGTTTCTGCTGATTGCACCTTTGGCTCCGATAAAAATAAGTGCAAGTTGAATTACACTTACAGTCACAAGGGACTGATGACCACATTGAAGCCTTCATACGAGGTGGTTCACAATTCCTGGGATTTAGCAGTTTCACAGAAACTTTACGATAATAACACACTTGAAGCATCCTACAATACATCAAACGACAATTTGGGGCTTAGTTGGTCGCTGGCTTCAAAGCGCATTGGTACTTTCAAGGTGCATAGACACAAACACACATATATGTCTCTCTTATTATCTGTTTCATTTTTTATTTTGGTATGATATTATCCGATCTGTTTGCTTTTGTTGGAGGATTTACTAAGTATTTAGGATAGAGATTAAGAAATATGATTAATATGAAAGAATTTAATTTAATTTTTTAATGCGTATTTTATCCTTTATGATGATCTCTCTTACTAGTTAATTAAAGGCAGTTAAGATAAGGGTTAATTTTATAAATAATAGTTAATGTTGTCTTTCATTTTTTTTAAGTGATAGAGAAATAAAAGAAAAAATTTTCTTTAACCCTTAGTTTGATTTGAGGGGAATGGAAAGTAGGAGAGATGAGATTTTTTTTTCCCTTGATAAATAGGGAATTAAATGAAAGAAAACTAAAAGACAGTGCTAGTATCTTGACCTGAATCAAGGGGAGGGGGGAAAAGGGGATGAAACCCAATAGCATAAGAAAGAGCCAATTTTAAAAGCATATCAGTAGTTGCATTCACATCTCTTGAAATTCTCTAAGTTTTGAGAGATGAGATTTTAATGAGTTTAATTTTTTTAAAAAAATGGAGAAGTTGAATAATAATAAAAAATTCTGATGAAACAAAAGCACATGAGGGTACTAGACCCTTAAATCAGAAGCTAACAACTCAAAAATACTCCAGAGGGCCTATGAAAAGCACAACACCATCAAACCCATTTAGAGCTTCCTTTGCTAGAGTATCAACAACAACATTAGCATCTTGGCTGCACCGCAACACAGTTACACTCTAGTCTTTGCTTATTGTACTCTGAATTTTTGATATGAGGTTTCGATTAGGATGGTTTAGTAAACCACTAATATGTAAGATATTGACCACCTCCTTGAAGTCTGTTTCAATTTCAACCTTCCTCTAAGATAGTTCCTAGGCTCTCTTAAGACCCCATAAGACTCCCTAAAGTTTTGCATCCAAACTAGTCACATACCCAATGTGGTAAAGGAACCCACCCCTTGCCTCCCCAATGTGGTCCCTCGCAATCCCTTGCTGCCAACAATGTCTACATCCCCTCCACAAGCGCTATCAATATTTATTTTGACTACCCCTATTTTTAGTACTCGCTACTTACCATTACTCTTGTTCGATAGGTCTAGCATCAAACTTGGATAAGACCACTTTACTATAGCTTGTGCTTGAGCAAGGGTGACTTGCACACCAATTGCCTTATGTCGGAACATTCTCATGGTTCTGTCAAGCCGTACTCCTTTAGTTTTATTTATAAGTCACTTTCAATATATTTTACTAATATCAAGAAAAACTTTAAACCTGATTAACTCTGTCTAATAATTTAAAAAGTTCTCAACTTCACCCCTTTTAAATATACATACTTTAACAATGTTTTTTTTCTTTCCAACATTCAATGGAGGATAAAAAGGGAAGTTTGTGATGAAAATTTAATGATGTGACTTATAAATGAGACCAAAAATTCTTCTTTTTACCTTATAAATAAGACTAGAGGGAGCAGTTGCCTACACAAAAGGCCAAACCATATGTCCCACCGAATACCTTTAATCATATTTTTTTTTGAGAGATTCCATTCAATCCATTCCATATGTTTGTTCTAAGTACTAAATGAAGCTTTCTTCTTTGGAGGTACCAATCTTTCCTAACATCGAAACACTAGACAACAATCCCACAGTACATGAAGGATGTCTTCCTATACTGAGTACAAAGGGAGCAAGAGTCACTCAATTGAATACCATTAGCAACATAGAGAGAGCTTTTCATGAGCCTTCCTTGCACACATAACCAAAGGAAGGGTTTATGTTCCTAACGTGCCGAGCCTTCCATACTTTCCTCAATAAGTTCTTACACAACAACCAGTACTTAGACATATATTCTAATATGTTGATCTTGTAGTAAATTCCCCATTGTTTAACCACCTCCATCTTAGGAGGTACTCCCTATACTCACCTGAAACACGATAAATCACAAGAAGCACAGAGTCAATGAGATATTCCTTGAATTTTTCACTATTCCATCCTCTTGAGTGTGATATATATTACCTAACCATATCATAACAAATTTCTTGAGGCATTGGTTTCTTTACATACTATAGCAATAGCTCATAGTGAAGGAGCCAACAATCTTTCCAAAACTTCACACATGAGCCATACTAGATATGCCAAGCTAAACCCTTCATCATTTCTTCCCACTCATCTTGAGTTCCTTTCTAAGCACTTAAACCACCTTTATGAGATGCAATTTTAGGGACTATATCATCACTATATCTGTATTTTTATCTCATGAATTTAACATATAGAACATTTCTATGATTAATCAACCCCCACCCAAGCTTTATTGTATAGGCTTTGTTTAGGTGATACACCACCCTTAAACCAAGTCCACCCTCTTCCTTATGCTAATGGAAATCTTCCCAGGCCACTAAGTATATCTTTCTTTGTGCCCCTGTACCTCCCCAAAGGAATCGACAATAATTTTTATCAATTTCATTACATGTATGATTAGAAATATGGTGGACTGTATGGTGTATGTCAAAATGACCACAACCACTAAGGAGACTAGCTTATGCCTAGCTGCTAAGGACAATGTGCTTGCCTTCCAAGAAGATAAATGACTGTCCACATTATTCAACGCATGCTGGTAAGTAGTGTTAGAGACTATCTTATGGTATAAAGGTATGCCCAAGAACTTGCCAAGGTTAGAAGTAGGTGTTTAAAATTTTAAGACTCACTTATCTTGCTTACTTGAAAATGTCCCACATCCCCTGAGTAGAAGATCCTTGACTTGGTACTATTTACCTTTTCTCCAAAGACAATGCAAAAATCATCAAGTCATGCTTTGATCATACCTACTTGATCCATATTGGCCTTTATAAAGAGAAGTAAATCATCAGTGAAAAAGAGATAAGAAATCACAACGCCATTTATTTTTAATTGAAATGGTAGCAATCTTCCATTCTCAGCTTCATTTTGTATCATATGGCCAATTTCTCTATGGCCAAAACAAATAGATATGATAAAAGTGGATCCCCCTACCTCACTCACCTTAATGGATGAAATTGAGGGCCCTTACTACCATTTCATAGTACTTGTATCGCCATAGTTAATTAACATTTAGAAACCAACTCCATAAACTTAGATGGGATCTTCAACTATTTCAAGCATCGAAGTACAAATCCTCCACCAGACCCAGTCATAAGCCTTTTCTAAGTCAATCTTTAGAGCGATAAAACATCACTTTCCCTTATACTTTTAAAAAAGAGTGTATAATCTCTTGGGCTTTAATTATATTATCTGTACTTTGTCTAGTGGCTATAAATTAAACCTAGACAGTTTAAAGCAACTACTATAGGCATGTCATTCTTCAACCTTATAGCAGGAATTTTCATTACCACCTTATACACCACATTGTAGAGGGTAAGGGACTGAAAATCCTTCATAGTCTTAAGTATCTCAATTTTGGGAATTAATGGTACTTGAACTTCCAATTTTATGCCCTTTACCTCTAGCATTAAATAGTAAGATCTTCGCCCCTAATATGTGATTTTATTCAAATATCATGCTTGGGCTCAATTTTCTGCCCCTCCGTCCATCTATCATACTAGAATCGTCTCACTTGTTACACCACTATTTAATTATCATACTGAATGTCGGATCATACCACTATGTCTATGCCATCTCCTGTCGCCCCTTTAACATTTTCTTGAGAGTTTCCTTCCTTAGTATGCACACTTCCCACTTCCCTATCTCCTTGTATGTTTGGCCTCACTTGCACCCCTTCCACCCCAAACTTCTATGTCTTCTCCTAGAAATGCTTAGTATCATGCCTATATTCTCCATAAATGAAAGACATTGGATTTTCTTTTCTTTGCCATTAATGAATAAGATAGGTCTCAGTGCAATGTTAAGATCAAGTTCAACATAAAGTCGAGTAAAGTAACCTTTTTTCCTTCTCAACTTTGTCATATAGACTTTCAAAACACAGTCGATTTGGAACCCCAACACATACAAAACACCCTTAACGTAATAGGCCAAAGGAAGTTTAGCAATGTGAATGCATGCTGCAATCTTGATTATCTTCTCTTTATCTTGCTCAAAATCTTCCTTCTAAGGTTGAATAGCCAAGTAATGATCATAAAACAACCATGGCCTACCCATCAATGCTAGATTATAATTATCATTATTTTCGAACTAGACTACGTAGAATCCTAACCCCACATTGATGAGCTCTACTTCTCCATGCCAACCCTAAATCAATGTGATAGTTTTCTCTCTATGTACTCTAACCTTACCATATGCCTTAGAAGCTTTATTATCAAAGTGCTACTCTACTCCTTAACTAGCCTCTCTCTTTTTTATAGGGGGATGATCAGATCAGGTCCATAAGATGTGATCTTCACATAGATCCTCAATTTCCACCTATCATTATTCCATTAATCTTCTTCCTCCATGTCGTCCTTACCATTCTTGCATGCCTATTTATAGGGCTTTCACATCTTCCTAGCACCTACACCACTTGCAGGCCTCCCTACCTTTCTCTTCGTTGTGGGTTCTTTATCACATATCCATGGTTCATCTCTCATCTCTTAGTACCAAGATCTAATTGTTTGACAACCTACCTCCTCCTGCTTGAACTTTTTTCCTACTCTGAATAAGGGCATCTCTCTCTTCCAACAACAATGTAGGAAACTCTCTCTCTCTCTCTCTTTCTCTCTCACATACTCATCTCTCTCAAGTTTAAATTTTGGTAAACTAATTATATCTAGAAAATTGTATAATAAAATTTTAATAGAAAGAAGATGTAAGAGAAAATGACAAAAAATTAATTAAAAACGTTTAACATTACTACTCTATGTGTTTTAAATCAAACTCAGTAAAATTTTCCCTAAATTATTCCTTTCAAACCAAACAAGAGGTAAAAGTGAGAATAGATGTAGTCTTTTTTTATATTTGCAAATATACAATTGTATATGTTAACTTCTAATTTATATATTCTAAATTGCTTTTAAGGAATTTGGATATTCTAAAGTAAGAAAGGAATGCACATGTATTAATCTATGCTTTTAATATATCATTGTATATCTATTTTTCAACATTGATATACATAGTGTGATTCACTATTATATATCTATATTTCTCTTAGCTTCCAAAAAACATTTAATATCCATGCACACACCTCAAGAGATTCAATCTAAAGACCATTGAATGGAAATCAGACCGAACTAGTCGGGTCAACTCATGAATCAGCCTCTCTGCTTGTCTAGTTTTCCATCTGACCTAATCAACAAGTGATCTGAGAAAACCCAATTAACTTAGGATCAACCAAGTGTAAACTGCATAACCCGACAGGTTAGCTAGGTTAATCGGGTCACTTTTTTTTCCAAAAACCCAAGATGACAACATTTTAAGGTTTTTAAAAAAATTAAAAAAGCCTGCAATCAATTTCAAATGATGAAGTCATCAGAGGAGTTGATGAAGCCATCCCTTAACTAATGGCTTCAATTTTAATGATGTCTATGGTGATAGAAAATGGGGATGATATATGAAATATGTTAAAATATTTTTTAAAAGTAAATTATTAATTTTAAAAAAATAAAAGAAAAAATTATAAAATTTTCACTCTTGAATATTCTCATTTATTTAGATGTTAATTTTTTTCATATTCTCATTTATTTTTATGTATATAAAATAAATTATATTATTTTAATTAAGACCAGTTTGATTCTTAGTTAACACCTAGTTGAACTATTAATTCTTGATTTACTGTCTTGATCGGTTCAATGACCGGTTTGGTTTTTAATGCCTTGCGGGAGACCACTTGCCCTAATTTTCCTTTTGTCAAGTTTTGGACAAGATAGTGGAAATACTCATTTCATTTAAAAATGTAAGGTATTTTTTGAGGAGTTACATATTAAAAAATGTAAGGTATTTTTAGTTTTTTGAGGTGTAATCATTACATTTTTTTCAAAAGTATCCCTATTGATAAATGACTTTATATTTATTGATGTTTAATAGGATAAATATGAAAAGATAGGATTAATTTAAAAGTAAATAACTATTTTATTGGGGAGTAAGATTCAATTATAAATATTTTATATTTTTAAACGGATAGAGTAGTCATTAATTTAATATGGAGTTACATATTTTTGCTCAAAAAGATAATACGGAGTTCTATATAAATAATTTTTTTTAGAGAAATAGAAAGTTAAAAAATATAAAAATATTATTCTGATAAAATTTATAAAAAAATTGAAAAATTAGTAAACTTACTGTATCTCTTTCAATTAAATAAATTAAATGATGACTGATAATATGATATAAGATGTCACTTCTTGGTTTTGTATGTGTTTCAAAAGGCCTCATACGAGACAACAGGCAACATCCTTGGACTGAAATGGGAGTTGGATTCAAAACCTCGTGGCTGTTTTGAGGTAAATAGTAACATTTCGCTATTATTATGAAAAAAATTATAATAAAATTCATCTGAATTATGTAAATAATAATTTAACTTTTTAAAATATCATAATATTAGTAAAGTCTCTAAAAAACTCTTTATCAATAACTTTTTTTAAAAAAATATCATTTTACCCTTATTGATAAATTGTAATTTTTTATTCAATTCTTGTGATTCTTTGAAAAAAAATTGTGATTTTTTAAATAAAAGTTATGAATGGAGTTTTTTATTTTAAGAACTTATTTTTCAATAATAGAAATTACAATTGACAAATTATAATTTTTTATTTAATTATTGTTATTCACAAAATAAAAGTCATTATTCCTTAAACAAAAGTTGTGATTGTGGTATGTTTTTCAATAACAAAAATTACACCTGATGAGTTGTAATTTCTTGTTCAACTCTAGCGATTTATAGAATAAAAGTTATGATTCTTTAAATAAAAGTTGTGATTGGGTCTTTTTATTTTCAATAAGGTTAAAATAGTCTTTTTTTTCTAAAAAAGTTATTGACAAAGAGATCTTTAGGGACTTCATTGGTATGATAGCATTTTAAGGGACCACATTATTATTTATATAATTTAAAGAGATTTTATTACTATTTTTTGTTTGTTGGTTACTGATTTTGAAACAAATATTTTTGCACTTTTTTCTTTTTTCTTTTACGGTGACTTCTTAATTGGGAATTTTGTTTTTCAGATTGGAGCATCCTTAAACTTGGATGAGGAATTAAAAGTTCCCAATGTTAGTGCCAAAGCCACTTTTGATTTTGATATATAGTGTGTGCTTCTATTTATATTTTTACCCTCTCTCATTCTGTTACTTGATATGACTTGTATATTATAAATATTAGAACTCATTTTCCTTTTGAGAAAATACAATCTTTGGCCCTCATAATTTTTTTAAGTTTTGTTTTTAGTTCATGTAGTTTTTTTAATGTTTTCCATCCTTATAGTTTCAATAATATTGGGTAACTTTTATTTTTCAAATCCCCATAGTTTTCATTTTTTAGTGGTTTTCGCTACAAGAAAAAAGCAAATTTCTTTTAAAAAAGTTTTGAGAGAAAACTAGCCAACTTCTAGAGAGAAAACAATTCTTTTATAGTTTTTGTTTGGGCTAAATATGAAACGTCGTTTAAATAAGTCACAAGGCTAGTTGGGCTAAGTAATCGAAGCATCAGGCCCAATATAAACAAAAAGGGCTGGCCCGGAAGCTCAATAAAGTCCACAACAAGTAAACATGCCAAAATCTCGTCAGCTACAAATATTAGACTGTTGGCATGAAGACACGATTTTAAGTAATGTCGAAATTTACACCCAAGTTGTCCGGTGAAATGGGCTGGTTATCAAAATGGAGAGATTATACCATAAGTTTCACAGGATTCCTGATTCTTCAACAAAACATGCTAAGTCCCAAGGAAAAAGCTTCCGCTATTTGACACTATAAATAGAAAGAAGAAAACACAGAGAAATCTAGTCAACACTCAATCAAGACTCACACATTTTACATTCATTAATCCTTTTCAGTTCTTAGTTTTAGTTTGTAATCTTCTACACTTCAATAAAATTATAGACTTGTTCTACCAAAATATTATATCTTTTTACATCCAAATGAACTGTGGTAAGGGAACTCAAGACCCTTTTCATTATCTATTGAGACTCAGCGTCTCTAGCATGCCCAGTATTTATTGTTCAACCACGAACAGTTTCTGGTACGCCTGGTGCAACCTGTGTAACAAAGATGGCAAGGAAGCGAAAAGACAAAAGGACTGAGGAAACAGGTGCTGGTTTTCATGAACTAGAAGGGATCTTTGCGCACGCAGGATCAGAACACTTATCGCCCGATGCTGAAGTAGCTAAACATCGTGAGCACGTAGTGTTGGTGACAATAGGTAACAGCAGTATGAGCCCTAGCTCAAAGTCAAGAAGTGGCCAACCCAACCCACTGATCATATCTAACAAACCTGTGGCAGAAGTGCTACAAGGAATTCAAGACTGGATGGATAAGCAGCTGGAAGAGAACCAAAAGTTCTTTACAATATCCCCTAGAAACATCAAAACATAGGGAAAAAGAACGACAGCAAATCATGATATAGGCTCTACATGAAGGCATGAAGAACATAACCACATCATTAAGAGGCGCCCATCTGGAAGCAGGCTCAAGTGTAAGGCCGCTTGGAGGGCAACAAGTCAGAATCAACATAGGTGCTGACCATTAGGGCCGCATACTTAAACCTGGCATGAATAGCCCAAGGGGCACAGCGGTGATCCCAGAACGTCCGATTGAGCCTTAGAACCAACTAGTAAATAGAGAGGCCTAGAGGAATGCCATTCAAGATATATATGGACTGAGGCTGAGGCCAATCGGCCGCCCCACCTTCTCAAAACCTTATTTAGAGTATATAGACAAGGACAACCCATACCCTCAAGGGTACAGGATCCCTGACTTCACATTGTTCTCAAGAGATAGGACATAGTCAACCTTGGAGCACATTGGGAGGTTCACAATCCAGTGCGGCGAGATCACTATTTATGAGAAATTTGCTAACTTGAAGTTGAGATTGTTCCTAAATACTTTCACGGTCCTAGCGTTCACATGGTATACGTCTCTACCTCCAACTCAATCGTTAGCTTAGATAAAAATGTAGCAGAAGTTCCTTATCTAGTTCTATAAAGCAGAGTCAGAGTTAGAATAGCAGAACTTTGCAAGCTCATATAACGGGCTAGAGAGACAACAAGCTAATACTTGGTAAAGTTCAAACGTCTGAGGAGTAGGTGCCACATGCCGCTTCTAAAAACTAAATTTGTCAAGCTGGCATAGGTAGGACTGGATATAGAGCTCTGAAAGAAATTCCATGGGATGGAATTTTAAGATTTCTATGAGCTCACAGCCAAGGTGTGGCGTTATGAGGGACTACTCTAGGAAGAAGACCACTGCCGATGGACTACAGTAGGGACCTATTTTGGAGATTTAGACATAACAATGGTAGAACTGAAGAATGCTAGTAACTACACATGCCTGGCTCTAGTAAGGAAGGTCGGAGAACTGCTTAAAAGACTGAACATAGTTTAGTACACCTTTGATACTACTAAAACAGAGGAAATTTTTGATTTCCTCCTCAAGAAAACCTTCATCTCCCTACCCATGGATCATAAAATTCCTTCGAATAAAGAATAAGGAGGGAAGGAATACTATAAGTATCACCACTCATGGAGCCACAACATCAAGGTGTGTTAGGGATTCAACAATGTCGTCCAGGACCAGATCAATAAGGGAGTTTTAAAATTCCCTAAGGAAGAATCCATAGTAGTAAATGAGGGCTCGTCCCCCCATTTGCTATGGTTAACATAGTGGAGATAAACTCTGGTAAATGACGGCCTAAGGAAAGTAATGGTAAGCAGAAGCATGGGAGACCTTAGAATGTCTGGAACAAGGATAAAGTGACTCAAGGAAACTCTAAGACAGTATGGGACCACCTGGGGAAACTTACGAGTCAGTCCAGTAAGAATAGTCTTTTAAAGGGGACACTAGCCCAGAAGGGAAGAACATGAAAAGTCCGGATGGTGCCAAAGTAGTTTTGGACTACTTGAGGGAACCAAAAACAGAGATAGTCAACAAAAAATGAAGAAAAATGGCAAACAACCCTCAGGATGGGATGTTGGTCTAGGGGGATTAGTAATGACAAAGCCAGATAGATCTAAGATGGTCTGGGATCGCCTAAGGGAACTATCTGGTAGATTCAACTTCTTTGTAAAATACTTATCACCCCTTGGATCAGGTGAACCATTTATGGAAACACCAATGGGCTGGGATGTAGGCCCCAACGGTCTACCGTTACCACCATCGACGACATCAAAAAGTAACACGGAGCTCCCTTTAAAACTAAAAGGCACTAAGGGCTCAAGCAGGTTTGTTACACCGCCTGGCAACATACCTCTTCTGAAATGGAGAGTTGTGAGGCACAAGAAGTTCCCAGCTACCTTAACGAGAACCTAGAGGTGACATCTTTAATGAAAGCAGGCTACACAGAGGTATTTTGAACAGTAAAAAATTAAGGTACAAGATAGCCCCGACATTCAATAGGAGGCTAGCAAGTTCAAAAGGAAGTCCACAAAGGATCAGGATGAAGAAAGCAAGGCTGAAAATCAGAAGAATGGGACCATTCATGTTGGAGAGATATTACTCAACCTCTACTGCGTGGTCTTGTTAACACTGCCTTCTCAATTTTGATCCACTACTGGTGATACCTAGGGCTAGCAGAAACAAAACTCCTCGAGGCCGACACACACTGGCCCGTATTAGTATTGCCCAATAGAGCCAAGATAAGAAGAAGGGTATGAGCCTATAAGCATGCAGGTATAAAAAGAAGAGATTGCAAAGCCCATTTGCCAAGTCACTTTGCAAGCAATAGAAGGAAAACCAAAGTGGGCCGTCCTGGAGGAACCCAACGTAAAGATAACTTAGCACTTGAAGCCTTTTTACATCAGGGTATATTTCGATGGGAGGCCAATAACCAGGGTCCTCATGGATAATGGCTCGGTGGTAAATATTCTGCCAACTCGTATGATAATCAAGATGGGACGAGAGGAGCATGATTTAATGCTAACTGAGGTATCAATTGTAGGGTTTATTAAGATTGCATCTAAGGTCCTCGGCGTACTACCATTACAGGTTGATGTTAGGACCAAGTCATCACTGATGGCCTTTTTCGTGATCAGCACGATAGCACAATACTAGGCCCTCCTAGGTCGGGATTGGATCTTTACCAATGAGTGTGTACCCTCTTCATTACACTAGATGCTCCTCATATAGAAAGGAGAGGAGGTAGAAGTGGTCTAAGCTGAAGACAAGCCATTCATAGAATCTACTAACTTCATAGATACGAGGTATTTACGATGTTGATGTAGGCCCATTTATATTCCAAAAGGCTCAAGGAATCCTTTCATGTAGAACAGCAACGGATGCTATAGTGCCTCTAATTTCACAGAGCCATGAGCCCATTATAGAACTGGTTGATGACTGAAACAAACAGAGGAAAGGCTATAGCAGCCGTGACCATTCAAAAGCTATAGTTGCATGATATACAAGAGAAACTAGAAGACTATGGACCCGAGATTTATGGGACTGAAGTCGTATATGAAGATAAAACCCAAAAGGTAGTGCAATTGCACGAGCTAGACCCTGCGCCTTTGAAGTTTAAAGATATAGCCCCAAAGGTCTAGGATCCACTAGAAAAAGTAAACCTCGGATCCCCAAAAGAGCCGAGAATCATGTTCATTAGCTCACTATTAGATAAAGGACAAAAGGATGCCATCAAGCTAACACTGCTGGAATTCAAGGACTGTTTTCCATAGGATTATGATGAAATGCCAGAGCTACCTAGATAGTTAGTTAAACACAAGCTTCCTATAAAGTCAAATTATAGACCACACCAATAGCCTGCTAGGAGAATGTTAATTAAAGTGGAGCTACGAGTAAAGGAGGAGATCAAACGCCTCCTATAGGCCAGATTCATACGGCCTTGCAGGTATGCTCAATGGCTCTCAAACATAGTCCCAATAATCAAGAAGAACGAAAAGTTGTGAGTTTGCGTAGACTTTCAAAACATAAACACAGCCACACCTAACGACGTGTATGCAATGCCTATTGCAAATAGGTTAATAGATGCTAGGGCCAGAAACGCTTTTCATTTATGGATTACTTTTCTGGATATAATCAAATATTTATTACAAAAGAAGACATTCATAAGACCACTTTTAGGTGTCCCGGCTCCATTGAAACATTCAAATGGGTAGTTATGCCCTTCGGTTTAAAAAATATCAGGGCTACCTATCAGCGGGCTATGAATGCCATCTTTTACGATATGATAGAGAAGCATCTATA